AGATGCCCCACTGTGAAGCCTTTGCCTGCTTCTCTAGGGGACAGGTAGTAGTTGTTGCAGGTGGGCAGCATCTGCAACAACTTGTATTATTCACTCACAGCTTTGTTACTTTTCTCTCCTACCACCATGAACAGCTGGAGGGCCTTCATTTCCATCTTCTTGCTGATAATCCCCAGCACAATGTTTAGAGGTAGTAGGTGCTAGAAATACTGAATAAATGAGCAAAGTATACAGACCAATTTCTTAAAAGGCCACTTTCATTCTGTTAGTCTTATGCTTCCATCCCGGTGTGGGCTTTAGGGGTCTTTCTGGTGGTCTGAAAACAGATCTATAATGGCAAATGTGTGCATTTTTATGTACAAATAAACATTGTTAAATATCCAAGTGAATTTTATAGGATTACTAAAATTTAGTATTTATAACCTAAACAGCACATTTTTAGTTTAAGAACTCTACTGTAGGGTAGGTTATCAGATCTCAGTGACTAATTACAGTCAAAGTTTATTACTCATTTTCATCACAAAGTAGTTCACTGGGATGGGGATGGAAAAAGTGAGTACTTTGTTCTGTGTAGTCATTCAGCTCCACAGTCTCAGGAACCAGCCTTCTTGTGATGCTGTCATTTAACACATGGCCTCCAGAATCTGTAACAGGGAGGAGCAGGAAGGATCACAGGGGGACGCTTTGTGTGACAGTTCTGGCAGTGGTGTGACATCTACATATGTCCCCTTCACCAGAGCTTAGTCCTGTTCCCGCCTCATTGCAACCAGTTAAGAAGCCGGTTAGCTATACACCAGCAGGAACTGTATTGGGTTTAGTGAGTATGCAGCATGGTGTGTAGCATCGTGCCTGTTCTTTCTTCTGTCAATAAGAATTCTGAGTGCTGTCTAACACTTGGTACGCTGTAAAGCTCCTACTTCACATATATATGTAAATGTAGTTGATTTCACGAAAATATTTTATCAATTTACTATTGGAATTGGTTGAGTTTTAAAGTTACTGCTATTATTTTTAAATTATAAATCACGTGTAGTTTAATATCATCAATATCAGTGGTATATCATTATCAGCTAAGTTATCAACTAATTTGTTGAATGGGTATCTCATAGTTTGTAAAGTAATGCTTTTTCTCTCATTAGCAGTATGTCATTTTCTTTAGAATATAACTGGATATTTGTTATACCATTTTTTAAAAAGTTCAAGCACTTTTTTAGCAAATTATAAGTAATTTAACACATAATGGATTATTTTTAAAACCCTCAATTTTTATTTAACACTAGACTATTTTTAAACTGGAAAGTAGAAATGGATGGATGTGTTTACCAAACCTAGTTTCGTTTTTTCTCTTTTTTAAACTGTGACATAATATAGACCCTTCAGTTAGGTGGGGACATGGGACCATGTTCTGACTTATTAAAGAGTTAGTGGAATAGATGTATACCACTGTCAGGTCTGGTCCATGAAAACCTCTCACATAATCCTCTGTTCTGCCTCTCTGCCTCTAAACCCTGGACCAATGGTTTGCGGGCCAGATCTGGTTTGCTGCCTGTTGTTGTAAATAAAGTTTTATTGGAACACAGCTATGTTCATT